ATAGACAGAATATTAACACCAAGTGGACAGAAGTTAAAGTGTCTGCAAATGCTTTTCGTTAGCTTGAAAATAGTTTTATCTGAACCATCCAAACCTTCGAACTTCACTATATGGTTGTAATTTCTTATAGCATATCTTATAGCATCTTTGTCATTACTATGGTTATTTTTGACTCAATAGGAGATAGAATAGTTTTGCCATAAATGCTGTTCAGAATGAGTTTTATAATTTCTTGTAAGGGGTTTTCCTTCTTTCTTATACTTTAACCTTAACTCAAACAACTTCTTTACTTCATCTCTTATTCTCATATCTCTGTTTCCATCGTAATAGTATCCTTGCAACACTTCACATTTGACACCTTGATATTTTATGAGGTCTTGTAATGTTATATGGTCAACATACATGAACAGCAAGTGTTTGAACTTCTTGGAACGTTAAGTTCTGGATTTAGTTCAGGGTCGCAAACTATTAAATGAAAGTGTCTGGGTATACCAATCTCTGTTATCTTAATGAGAACAAAGAAGCCAGACATAAACTTTTCACCAATGGGTTCCTTTTGGTCATCATCGAATAAATGTCTCATGAGATACTCTGTGCTTAGCATCTCATCCTTCAATACTTTTGGAATACCTTCTAAAGTATAAAGTCTTGCTATAGCTGAAGGATATAATGAAACAGTGTCGAAGTCAGCAATGAGTTTCTTTTTGCTCTTTTGTTTCATGTTATCTGACAACATACATCTTCCACCTTGAATGCATCTCGAAATAAATTCTCTTGGTTTATTTGAGAGGTCATAAAGATTTCCATTCGGGAAGTATACTCTGTTCTCAAACAATTTGTTAGCAATTGAACAAATACTAACGTAGTCATAAACGTTTAAATCAAACTCTTTCAATAAGTCATTGCGGAACTTTACAAAACCTTCTCTTAAAATTCTTACATCTTGTTTGCAGTAAAACGTGCTATATTTTTCTAAGTCGAAGTGGTTTCATCTATTCTGCAACCTTTGATGGAATCTATGTTTTTCATAAATGTATCTGCATCATGGATAAACTTACATGCTTCAGAAATGACACCAGTTCTGTTGTCATTTGCTAACAAAACACTGCTGTAGTAGTTATATGGAAATACTTCTTTCGGTCCTGTTTGTAAGTTAAACATAGCAGGAAATAGTTTAAGCTTCTTATTTATAACACTGTAAGAGTCTTTTATAATAATTGCCCGTCCTTTATATAAACCAGTTATTTGCATTGTTCGTGAACCTTTAATGATGGGAGTTCCTTTCACTTCTGTCATGTGTCTTAAGATGAAGTTTATGTCATAACTGAGGTTGTGAAAATATATTAAACTCTTGTCAGGAGTCTTTCCAAAAATTCTGTTGCACAGTTTTGACCCCAAATGCTTTCACTACTGAACCATCTTCACTGTCATAACAGATGTTAAAAGCTTTATGAAAGCCATCCGTACTACACTCAAAGTCAGCAAAGAAAACGTGCTCAGGAATGAATTTACATTTAGCTTTATTTACTTCTTTTGACTCTGCTTTCTTCTTCAGTTGTACACAATACTTTGGAGCATATGTCAAATCTTTAAATGGTGCAAGGTTCTGTTTATATAAGTCAGTAGTATATGTGAAAAGTTCTCCATAAGAAATAGGTTCGAAATATTTGCACTCCCACAATGTTTTCATAACATCCCATAACGGTGTTGTTCTATCATAACGAACTACATATTTATCTTCTCTCTTTGTATAAATCTTCATCTGTTTCTCAATGTTCATTCCACCACAAGCTTTGAGAATTTCTTTATAGTTTCGAATGAAGTATGTTGTCATTGGTAATCTTTCATTTAGCATGTAGTGGTCTTCAACAAGAAGTAAGTCAATAGTTCTAACAGTTTCGCATTCTTTTGGTATATATCTCTTTATTTCATTATGTCTTGAGTCATTGAAATAACCAATGGTAACATTAAATGATATACCTGTTGCGTCAGAAATTTCTTGTACTTTACTTTGAGGAAAGTCTCTAACACGAATGACTTCTCTCATGTGGTCAATAGTTTCTTCATTTACTCCAGCCTGAATGCAAGCATAAACGAAACAATTGTCCTCTGTCATAAGTATTGCAGTTCTTTTGTTCAGTTCATTGAAGATTTGGTAGCGTTCAAGATTTATAGGTAATGTGCAAAGATACTTCCAGAACTGACCGCTTCTCTTCTTATAAAACTTCTTTTCACCATTATCTTTCCAAAAGCTTTCTATAAGTGCTGGGTTTCCTGTTTGCTTAAGAGCTTCCAAAATGGCTTTCTGGTCATTTGTCAGTGTGCTTTCATCTCTATATGGTCTCTTTTTTGGTTTGCCTTTCTTTACATCTGACATCGTTAAGCCTTCATATTCTGTTAAATCATACATCTTTATTTCGTAAGATTCTTTATGTTTGTCAAGAAGAAGTCATAGTGCATTTCAACAATACCTGCAGCATTTGCTTCTATCTCTGATATAAAGTTCTCCTTCAAGAGCTGATGTAGTAATGTTCCAATATTATTGAGGTTTAACGTAGAACATTCATACTTTCCACCAAGTTTATAACATACCATCCATCTCTGTTGTGAGTTTATTTTAATTTTCTCTAAGAGTCTCATGAAAACCTTACCGAAATGTTTGTGTAAGTAGTCTCTGTTTGGTTCATCTAAAGCTTCGATGTTAAAGTCAATGAGTCTATTGCCTGACTTCACATTCCTCTTCCTATTCTCTTCATCTTTCTTTAACCATCTCTCACCTTCTTTTGGTTTGTCGTCAATGGAACGAATGACATCGTTAGCTTTGCGAACTTGTTCTATAGCACTTTTAAACATCTCTCTTCTCTGTTGTTTCAGTGTGTCGTCTCTTCTTCTTGTTTCACCAACGTTTGCATTTGTATGTTCAAACATTTCTTGACGAACATCATGCGAAAGAGCTTTACGAGTATGACCAACGTTCGCATTTGTTATGTCAAACATCTCTCTTCTTACTTCATGAGGTATTGAACGTCTATGATATAAGTCAATAGCAACGTCATTTAAAGGAAATGCTATTGCATGGACTTCGTCCTCGCCGCGTTGCGGCTTTATGAACTCATGAATTCTATCATAACTTATTGCACCATTATAGTCTTTAATGAAGTCAGCGAGTGCTTTTTTGTTTGTTGCGTAATGCTTTGCAACATCTATATTAGCTTCTGTAAGAAGTTGTTTTATTTCCGAGTGTTCTAACTTAGACAACTTCCGATACATCTTTAGTAGGAAATAAAAAAATATTTTTTGAAAAAATAAACTTAGAAAAATTATTTCTTTCTATATTTGCCATTCCGAACTTCGAAAAGATGTTTTATACCAGCATAGAATTTTTCTCTAGAGCTTGGTCTTATATTGTTTTCATGACAATATTTTCTATATTCTTCATATAAAGCCTTTTTTTCATACATTTTATAAGGACAATCTAACCAGAATAGCGCATATCCATTTTCGTTATCTAGGTCTCTATATGTTTCTTCTGTTTGTAGAATTTCGCTTTCTTCTGTTTGTAGAATTTCGCTTTCTCTATTTAGTTCTATGTCTATATATTGTGGCTTAAAAGGATGTGGGCAAGAAGGGTCTGGCGCTATGTAAAAAGTTAATTTTTCTGTCATCTTTTCTATCGGATAAAAAATATTTTTTGAAAAATTAGATTACATTTTTTAAGTTATTTTTCAAAATAATTTAATATTTTTATTTTAATGAAACACATGCAAGATTGCAAGTTCTTTTCATACAATGCTCTCGCTACTGCCATCAAGAATGAGTTCAATGGTTCTGCAAACGTTAATGTTATCTTTAACAAGAAGTTTGTGAAAGAATCTAAGTTTGGTCAGTATGTCAGACCATTAGCTATTGTCATTGACCGCAAACGTTATACTTCACAAGAGTTAGCAGTAGTTTTGAAACAAAAGAGTTTCTTCGTGAATGTCAAAGATACTCATTATACTGTCATAAAGAACTCCAACATTGACTTCTTCAGTATTGCTATGAATCTTTCCGAACAGAAAGAATATAAGAAGGGTGAAACATCTGTGAAATATTATCCTTCATCTCTGAAGACAATAACGAACAAAGATGTTATACAAAAGTTCTTACAAAGGTTGAAGAAGCTTCTATTGACATTGACGAAGGAAGTGAAATGGTTGAAGAAATTGACCCTGAAGCTATTAAGCAAAATATATTTTTGGTGAAGAGGTGAGATATCACCGTTTTTTCACCTCATTCTCTCTTCGTTAATGTTGTCGTGACTTCTTCGTTAATGTTGTCGTGACTTCTTCGTTAATGTTGTCGTGACTTCATTCTTCCTTTGAAGTTATCGAAATATTCTGTTATTTTTTCCTTCAGTAATGGTAAGTCTTCTTTGAATGTAAGTATTGTGCAACCTTTGATGTCATAGTGTGTTTGAGGAAGAGTATTTTGACAATTTCCTTTATTTGCTCATTCGGTGTCATTGAAATCGGTAAGTTTTCACGATAGAACCAGTTTCTGTCAGATTTATATATTTTAGCAAGGTCGTAAAAGCTTTTGTTGTTTCTTCTGACTAAATGCAACATAACCATATCTCTGTCTTCTTCATTCTCCAACTCTTCAGTATAAATCATATATTATAGTTCTTTTCCTTTCCTTTGGTACTGAACGTGGTATTCTTTTCTGTATGCTTTTGTCTTGGATTCAATGACTTCATCTTTTGCTTGAAGTTTCTTTCCATCTCTCCACGTTCTGTCTGTGAAGTTCGTCAAGAAGTTTGTATATTCCAAGCATAACGTGTGAAGCCCACATTGAAACTGCATTTACTAAAAGTCTATGAACATAATATCC